CGTATTGCTTTATTTTGCTTACATTATAATACTGGATATCTTTTGAAGTATATATTAATAACTTACTGACCGAGAGTGAGGGCAGTACGGGAAAATATCCAACCGAGGTCTTGCTGTATTGACCGAGCGATAGCGAGGTCAATACAGCAAGACCGAGGTTGGATATTTTTCCGTACTGCCCGAACGGTTGAGGTCAGTAAGTTTTTTATTATATGGCATTGTACGTTTGTAAAAAATGGGTAAAAAAGGTCACGTGAGGGCAAAGTACAAAGTCCGAAACATTTGCAAAAAAGAACAATTGTAAAAAATGTTCTCAAGCTCGTAGGGGTGCACCGGATTTGGAATTTTCAAATCCGGCCGGAACCGGATTTACTGGATTTGGACAAAAATTCCGGCCGGAATTCCGGCCGGATTTGCCGGATTTGAGATAAACCGGTAATGGGGACAATTGGGGATAAATCAGTATTCAAAATGGCGGTTTATGTTTTTTACTATTTTTAGTTAGTGTCAGTTTAGATTTTTGATTGTGTTTAAACCTTTTTTAAATATCTTTTTGTTAATAACTTAATATTTTATAATAATATAAGTGTTTTTTAAACTTTAAAGCTGCCAAATTGATGGTTTATCCCATTCTTGGTGAATTTTTAAAGGTGAAAACAGAAATTTAAATCCGGCCGGATTTTCTCCAAATCCGGCCGGATGCCGGATGCCGGAAAATTCGTTAAATCCGGCCGGAATTCCGGCCGGATTTGAAATCCGGTGCACCCCTACAAGCTTGGTTAGTAAAACTACTCTACAGCAATTTTTATATAGAATACTAACACAGTTGGATAGTATTTCAAGAAAAATACGAGGTATTTCGTCATTTAATCAAAGACAAAGACAACAAATATGAAAACAATAAAATTAATAAACAGTATGGACAAGTACGGTTTTAGTTCGCTTCATCTCATAAATATATCTCTTTTTATCGAAAAACCCCAGAAATTTTCAGGGAAAAAATATAAATCTGTGGCTGCTTTAGTTGTATTTTTTATTTAGGATGGTGTCAAATTCCTCGGCTATCTGCAAATAAGATTTGCAGCTCTTCACAAAGTCAAAACACAGCTATTCCTGACTTCTTTAATAGTTATAAACATTGTAAAATTTACCTTGTAATTTCGACTTTCGCTAACAAAAACATATTGAGAAAGTTCTTTAACCAAAGAAGGTGCTCCTTTTCTTTAGTTTAGGTTTATTTTTCTTCGTTTTGAATAGTTTTGAAAGACTTTTAGACACTTTTTGCCGTTTGAAACTCGGCTCTTGTCGCGGGGCAAAAAAATTGCGTATTGCCCGTGGGCAATACGGGAAAATCCTGCCTCGTCAGCAGCCAATCAAATTGCGCGATTCATCAAAACAAATGCTTGCCGTATAATAAATATATATATATATTGATCCAGTCCTAGAACTAGATCAAAATTAATTCACTTCACTTTAAGTAGTGATTTATTTATATGAGATGTCATTTCAAATCCGGCTCCAATTCGGACTGGACTAGATTTCAAGTCCTCGCATTGTCATTGGTTAACCAGGAAATTTTCACCAAAGTGATTTTAAAATGTAAATAGAGGAAATACAAAAATAATATATCTTTGATCTTAATAGGAACCAACTGTTATTGTCACAACAGCTCAACAACCAAATACAGTGGTGATGACCACACAAGCATACCCGGCCTACAACCAACAGCCACCACCTTATGGTCAACCTGCTGGTCAAGTTCAAATGGTCGTCGATAGCAAAGCTTATTGATTACATTTTTTACATATAATTACCATAGCCTTTTAGGTCAAATAATGTATTATTAAAGGCCTATATTTGCACGAACAATTATGTATTGATAGAATTGAATCACCTAGCTAAATATGTAGTTCAGTATAAGTTTCATTTGTGCACTATCAAATTAAGAGGAGAATCTTGTGTGTGTTATGTTGATAATTGTATTTAAATTGACAATTGCACGAACAATATTGATAGAACTTGAACCATCTAACTAAATATGTAGTTCAGTATTTGTGCACAATCAAATTAAGAGGGGAATGTTTTGTAAGTTACGTAACACGCACTCAAAACCAATGAATATACCTTTCCACTCAGTTATGACTAGTTCAATTTTTTAAATTTTTGATACGTTTCTCTAGCGGCAAACAAACTTAAAAAGCATGTTTAGTGCTCTATCTGTAAGTACAGTTATACATCATACCACATACGGGATTTGCGTCAATTAGTGAACATCAGTGCACATGCTCACATGTACTACTATTTGCTGAGCAACGTGTGTTTGTAAATTCCCACTTTCTGGCCAATAGCTAGCCTGCTCGCATCAGCCTTAAAATTTGAATAGCGATCTTGAAACGGATACGCGTCGCAATGCATTTCAGATCGATTACATATTGACAGGACTACAGGTGGTCTAATTAATTAAACAAAGTTCAACAGAATCTAGCGAATCTTTCATCTTTTGGGAATCCTTAAGGCCCAGCGAAAAAATGGCAATGTCAAACGGTATACGAGTGGGCTCGATCACAATTGGATGTTCGCTGTTGGTACTCACATTCCTCTCCATGATTTGTGGTATTGTCGCGATGAGCAAAATGAGTAATCCAGTTGCTGTTAGTATCGGTTTATGGGGACTTTATGTAAGTATAACATTTCACAGTGTTTTCTCTTTAACGTTCGCGTTTTTAAGTAAGTAATTGATTAGCGCCGGTGAACAAGATTGCATTTCCGTAGGACATGTTGTAGAACATTGAGAGTTTTACGTCCTACCATATTTTACAGTCTTAGAAATTTAAAGAAAAGAGTTGTATATATGACGGGATGACGGTGCCTTCATAATGGATTCTTTGAGTTTTGTGAAAGGAAAATCGCCCAAAACTAAAAAATTTCAGCCTTTATAATTGGCGTGTACAAATGGCAAATTTTGGGCTTGTAGTACAAGGTAACAGTAAGTTAATTAATGGAAATAAACTTTTAATATTCTCTATTATTGACTACGTTTACTCGTTATCAGGAATAAAATGACGACCAAAAATTATTACAATAACAAATTATGATTACTTTCGTTCCAATTAAAACTTATTTCTGAAAGATCGGATCGATAGTTTGAGATCCTAAGACAACTAAATGATTTTTTTCTTGAGATTAGTGTTTGCTTTAGGTGGAATTGCACCTGTCTCGTTTCGTAATTGTGTACGTCATCGGTTCTTTGAAGTAAATTTGATATAAAGCAAAGAACTATTGAATTTCTGACTTTAAACATTAGTGTAGCAAGTTGCTGGTTCCTACGAGTCAGATAAATAAGGTTTAGAGGCGAGATCTCCTTTACCGGGAAGAAAATGTCTCCTTATACACACTCACAAGCTAGCGGGCTGGCCCGGTCAGTTTAAACAACAAAATTAAACTGAAATTATAACACTTAATGTCAACACGCAATCACGCATATATTTCGCCACCGGTTGCGGTTGGCGCCGGTTGCATATAGTTATTTTAATTATATATTTTGTGTTCAATGTATAGACCACAGTAAGACTTTATTTAATTAAATGTGTTTATTACATCAACAAACGACGTTTGGGAGATTTACTCCATCTTCATAAGATTACAATTTGAATTTAAACTAACACGCGCATGCATAAACCTTAAGGCAGGTTAAGTAGTATTTAAAACACGAGAAGGAGTGTTTTATCATATTTAAAACGCGACGCGCAGCCGAGCGTTTTAGATATGATACAACGCGAGTTCGAGTGTTCCTTTAATTACAAAATGATCAATTTCCCAAACATATATATGCTAGGTATGTTACTATAATAATAATAATAATAATAATAATAATAATAATAATAATAATAATCTTTATTTAAAGAAGGTGCAATTATACAAAAACCAGTTTAGCAACGCTAATCTTACACTGGGCCTTCTGTTCAACTGTTATCGTCTACTTATTACAAATTTACTATTAAAACTACACATTAATTTGGACATCAGTACAACAAGCACATATAAAAGTCGTACAAACAAATAACTTATATATAAGTATCTAAAAAGTATTGATAGGCTCTTAATTTAAAGGAGCTTAATGACGTTGATTGTCTGCATGGTCGCACGTGGTAAACTGTTATATAATGTTGCACCACTGAATTTCAACGTTTTCTGCCTAATTGTTAGTTTCGTTCGCGGTATCCACAGTTCGTTGTTCTCTGAGCTTCTTGTACTTTCGTTTGTCACTGATGACTTTCAGACAAACAAGTCCGGCACTTATGTACTTGGGTACCCAGTTGTTTAATGATTTATATACCATTATTGCTGTTCGTAGCATTACTCTTTGCTGTATAGGCAGGACTCCAGCAGCTTTAAATAGTGGCCCA